GTTTTGAACTTATATTATATTGTAAGTGAGCTTGGGGCGGAAGAGTCCTTGAGGACCCCTTGCCTTACTGAGATTTCTGTTTAGAGATCTCACCCCACGTTTGGGGAAAATATGTCAGGTTCAGGTAACTCGGGGTTTGAGACCTCGGGCGGCAGGAGGTCGGAGCTTAGTTGACTGATGCATGATGATTATACTATTTTGATTGGATGCTGTTTTATCCTTATTTTCCTATTATTTGATTTGAGACTCTGTTGGGCTTTGTTGCCTTATTTGGTGAGCATGGGGGTTGTCTATGCCACATTGATTGACTATGTCCTATTTTAGATTTGAGTTGTATTAATGTATCAGGATTAATGTTCGGACTACGTGTTGTAGTTCCGTGACTTAGTTACTCACAGTTATTTATATATTGAGGTAGTCATATTAGTTGTTTATTGCAATTTACATACAAGCAATGTTTTATGAAAAAAGGATTAAGTAATCAACTTGGTAATATTAATGACGTCATAATTGAAAAGAAAAAGTTATTCCACATTTTAATTAAGCGTTTCTTAATACGATGACATGTTAACAAACCGGGTATACACGAAGTGTTACACTAGGCAGGCGCCTAGTCAGTTCAAGAGGACTTTGACGCATGGGAGTTCAGTTAGACCTCCTACTCCCAGATGCTCGGGATGTGGGAAATTCCATGTGGGGCTGTGTGCTACCGGCCAGTTGATCTGCTTTCAGTGTGGCCAGGCGGGCCACTATTCCAGGGATTGTCCTTCATCGACCGCAAGAGCTGCAGCGGTTCAGGCTGTTCCACTTCAGATGGTTCCCCTACCACCTACAGTGGCACCTGCAGTGCCACATGCCATGGGTCGTGTTTACACCTTGGATCGACAGCAGTCGGACCGAGCTCCAAACCTTGTCAGAGGTACTGTTTCCATTGGTGATTCGAATGTTGATGTCTTGTTTGGTTTCAGGGCTACGCATTCTTTCATTGCAACCCCGATTGTTGTGGGGCTTGAGGTTTCCAGTGCTGCGCTTTCTCCACCGTTGCGGGTGACCACTGCCACCAGAGAAAAGTGTGATACCTGCACTATACATCGAGATGTCGTGTTTCAGTAGGATGGCCATGATTTTTTGGTGGATCTGATAGGATTGTCGATGGCTAACTTGAAGATCATCTTTGGCATGGATTGGTTGCCCAAGAATTCTGTGATGATTGACTGTTGTACCAAGCGAGTGGTGATGTCTCCGTGTGTTTCTACAGCCAGTTCCTCGCCTTATATTTTAGTGTTGTAGGCTAGGAGAGCCTTGAGAGTATGGGCATTTGGTTATGTCATGTTGGGAGGTTTGGTGAGTGGGACACAGGAGGATATCACTGGCATTCTTGTGGTGAAGGAATTCCTCGAGGTGTTTCCTGAGGAGATTCCTGAGTTTCTGCCACAGTGGGAGATAGAGTTCTCCATAGATTTGTTGCCTGGTGTGGGGCCTATTTCTTTAGCTCCATAACGGATGTCGCCACCACAGTTGGCAGAGCTAAAGAAGCACATTGAGGATCTTTCAGCGAAAGATTTCATCCGACTGAGCGTGTCTCCATGGGGAGCACCAGTCATCTTTGTGAAAAAGAAAGACGGGACTATGCGATTGTGCACCGATTACAGGCAGCTGAACAAGGTGACGATCAAGAACAAGTATCCCCTTCCTCGTATTGATGATTTGTTGGAACAACTTAAGGGTGCTTGTGTGTATTCGAAGATTGATCTCCGGTCCGGATACCATCAGATTCGGGTTAAGCCGGAGGATGTCCCCAAGACCGCGTTTCGTTCGAGATACGGTCATTATGATATTTGGTGATCCCATTTGGACTCACCAATGCACCCGCAGTGTTCATGGACCACATGAACTGAATTTTCCAGCCGTACCTGGATCAGTTTGTGATCGTCTTTATTGACGACATCTTGAATTACTCCAAGACTAAGGAGGAGCATGCAGAGCACTTGAGGGTTGTGTCGCAAGTGCTGAAGGAGAAAAAGATTTATGTTAAGCCTTCGAAATGTGAGTTCTGCTTAAGTCAGTAAAGTTTCTTGGGCATGTGATTTCTGCTGAGGGAGTTGCAGTGGATCCTAACAAGATTAAGGCTGTGCTAGATTGGGAGAGGCCAAAGACGGTTACAAAAGTTAGGAGTTTCTTGGGCTTGGCTGGTTACTACAGGAGGTTCATCAAGGGATTCTCCATGTTGGTTCTACCATTGACTCGCCTTACCCGGAAGGAGACTCCGTTTGTGTGGACTCACGAGTGTGAGGAATGCTTTCAGGAGTTAAAGGAGAGACTAACGATTGCACCTGTGTTGGTCCTTCCTGATCCTGCTGAGGAGGTCTAGCTTTGCACTGACGCCTCCGAAAAGGGGCTGGGCTGTGTGTTGATGCAGTTGGGCAAAGTAATTGCCTATGCTTCGAGGCAGTTGAAGCCTCATGAGGAGAACTACCCGACTCATGACTTGGAGTTGGCTGCTATTGTGTTTGCTTTCAAGATTTGGAGGCATTATCTTTTTGGTATGAAGTTTGCCGTGTTTAGTGACCACAAAAGTTTGAAGTATCTGTTCGATCAGAAGGAGCTGAATATGAGACAAAGGAGATGGATGGAGAATCTGAAGGACTACGACTTTGAGTTGAAGTACCATCCTGGCAAGGCCAATGTGGTAGCTGATGCTTTGAGTCGAAAATCCGTGAGTCTATCTAGTTTGACGATGGGTGACTATGATATTATTGAGCAGTTTCGAGATCTGACGGTGACCTCTTTGTTTAGGGGTGCACTTCTCGAAATGGAAACTGTGCAAGTTGAAAATGAGCTCATGGAAAAGATCAAAGAGGCGCAGGTGCAAAGATAGTGCCTTGACTATGTGAAGAACCAGGACGGTGTGTTTTGGAACGATGATGGTTTCTTGACTTTCCATAATAGAATTGTGGTTCCTCGAGGTCCTTTGACTGAGAAGGTGATGACAGAGGCTCATAAGGGCCAATTTACTGTCCACCTTGGTGCTACAAAGATGTACCAAGACTTGAAGAGAAATTACTAGTGGTCGGGCATTAAGAAGGACATAGTTGTTTTTGTCTCCAAGTGTTTGATTTGCCAGAAGGTGAGGAATGAGCACCAGAAGCCGTCTGGTAAACTCCAACCTCTTGAGATTCCGGAATAGAAATGGGAGAGCATTTCCATGGACTTTGTGGTGGGATTGCCAAAAGACTGAGGCTGGTTGCGACTCTATCTGGGTCATTGTGGACAGATTGACGAAGTCTATCCACTTTCTTCCGGTGAAGGTGAGCTTCACTACTAAGCAGTTGGCCAGACTGTATGTTCGCAAGATTGTGAGGCTTCACGGGGTGCCCGAGAGTATCATCAGTGATAGGGACCCAAAGTTCACATCTCGATTTTGGGAGGCGTTGCAGGAAGCTTTTGGTACTAAGTTGAGATTGAGTACAGCCTATCACCCTCAGACTGATGGACAGACTGAGCGGACCATCTAGACATTGGAGGACATGTTGAGGGATTGCACTTTGGAGCAGGGTTCAGCATGGGATACGTACCTGCCATTGGTTAAGTTTTCGTACATCAACTATTTCTATGCTAGCCTGGGCATGGCACCCTACGAGGCGATGTATGGTAGGAGGTGTCGGACTCCTACCTGTTGGTCTGAGGTTGGAGATAAAGAGTTGTTTGGCTTGGACTTTGTCCAAGATACTACCCAGCAGATTCAGTTGATCATAGAAAAGCTGAAGCAGACGCAGAATCAACAGAAGAGCTATTATGATGTTAAGCATCGTCCACTGGAGTTCAGTAAGGGTTAGCACATGTTTGTGAGACTTTCACCTGTCACTAGTGTTGGTCGGGCTCTTGGAGTGAGTAAGCTTAGCCCGAGATTCATTGGGCCATAACAGATACTTGGTAGGGTAGGACCTGTTGCCTACCGGCTCGCCTTGCCTCTGAACTTAGCCAACATCCACGACGTGTTTCACGTGTCTCAGCTTCGAAAAATATTGTGGATCCTTCGCACGTGGTGCAACCGGATGATGTGGAAGTTTGGGAGAACCTAAAGACTCCCGTCGGACCACTCAAGATTCTCAATCGTGGCGAGAAGAAGCTTCGGAGCAAGATCATTCCGATGGTCAAAGTGTAGTGGACAAGAAGAACTCCTGAAGAGTGTACCTCGGAGCGAGAGGACGAGCTTCTCCGACAATACCCTGAGTTTTGGGACATGTATGTGTAACATCCCGTCTAATTAGAAACCTATTTAAATGGCAATTAGGAATGGGGGAGAGTACTTGTCCTCGGATTATATGAAGGTTTGCTTTAGAATGGGATTAAATTAAATTAGGGAAATTATTTGTATTACCATGGTAGGTGGATACCTATTTAAGGCATGTGAAATTTTAGTTATGAGTATAGGAATAATTTAATTATAATATGTAGAAAGCATAATACCACTTACAAGTATATGAGTACTCATTAAAAGTATGTGATTAATTTTATTACAAAGAATAGTTAATAATGGGAGGGTACATAAAATAATAATGCATGAGCTAATTCACAAAGTAGGAGAGCATGTGAACTTGAATTCTAGAACCCAACTCCTCTATATAGACGACGCCTAGTACCCTTAAGTGGGGAGTATGTGTAGCATAACCTCTTAGAAGCTCTCACACCTTATCTTGTATGAATCCACAAGCTTGCCATGCATTGGGTGAGAAATGACACATGGCAAAACCCCATACACTTTTGTATCCCCTACTTGCACATGATGTAAAGAGCAAATTCTGATTACTTGCACACTTGGACAAAGCAAATCTGTCCCAACTTCCTCATGCAACCAATGAGGGGAAAAGCTATCCCCTTGCATGTCTTTCTATTGGCCCAACAAGCCACACACAAATCTTACCCCTTATCCTTTCTTGGTTCGCACAAAAGAGGGAAAAAACCAAGCTTGATTTTGTCTCATCTTCGTTGAATATAGGTTCAGATTATGAGTCTCTAATTTTTCATTTCCTTCTCCTTCTATGCGCTGTAAAGGGAAGCCACAAGAATAACCATGAACTACTTATTCAGAATTATAAGTTGTTCCCCTCTAATTCAAAATTCATGAGCCTGTAGCAGAACTCCCAAGAATCTTAGCTGCATTTCATTTCTCCTACGCTCCATACATCGCGAGCGTTGAGAAAGGGATGAAACACCTAGAATTGCTTTCTTTCTACTTCACACTTTCGGCTGAGCATCAAGCCACACAACTTGCAAGTGCTCCATTCCTTATTCCCTCCAAGCCGCAAGCTTTCTAAGTGGAAGACTAGCCACCAAGCATTTCTTCCTCTTCTCTTAACCATTCGGCTGGAGTCCAACCTTGTGGAGATGAGGTACTTCTGTTACAAATTTCTTTTCCCTCCTTGCTGCATGCGAGTTGATGAGACTTTCCCCTACATGCAGAACCAGTGACCATCTTCCTTTTTCCAGCCGAAGCAACCAGCCTCAAGGAGTTGTGAATCGGATTCCTTGAAGGCAATTAAACTCGCCTTGCATGTAGCTGAAATCTTGGTCTTTGGAGAGTGGTACGGTGAGAATTGTAGCGCAAATTTTGGTGACTACCTTCCTGAACAAATTGTGGAGCGATGTTCACTAGTAAGGAGGTAAATTAGCATGAACCAAGTTCTACCATTGTTCTCTGTTTTGGTTTTGTTGGTATTCAAGGAAATGATTTTCTGTTTGTGCTATCCCTCACTTAATTCCCTTCAAATTGTGCATTCTGGTTGCAGGTCTGTCTATAGCAAAATTTTGGGTCTTGGGGACATAGCTCTTATCCTTAGTAGGGCTGTTAAGTGAACTAAAATAAAGAATGGACCTTTGTAGGTGTTGGAACTATGAAAATCCTAAACATCTTTTTATAATGAAAACCGAATTCTTGTGAGCATGGAAATAGCTCTGTTGTTGTTGTGTTGAACTTATTACTTGGACTAGGAAAATCATTAATATTTGTATACACTAAGAACTTTATGGGCAGCGTGTTGAAGCCTTTATCACTCCCTATGTCATGAAGAATATGGGATATGAATAAGCAATGTTAGGCACCTAATAATGGGCAGAAAACCGAACTTGTATGCCCAGAGAACCTTGAATTTCATTACTGTAGCAAGTTAGAAGAATTGGTATTAAGCCAGAAAATTAATTCTTTAGGAGAACTATGAAAATTGAATTTATGGGTGTGTGAACCTTGGAAAAATTCTTATGTGTTAGCTATTAGTGGAGGGGATTAGGTAAATAAAATTCTTCGCTGCTACATGCTACTAAATTAATGTGGAGTCAGAAATTAAATAGTACAAGAAGCATGATAAGCCGGTTAAAATACACGAATATGGAAGTCATGAAAATGGCATATTAATAATAGGATTTTATAAATAAAATTCTGACTTATGGTGCACTCAATTAGGTGCGCAAAATTCCTAAAGTGTGGGCTGTTTTGATGCTGCTTGATAATACTTGGACTCACAAGGTATGTGTTAGGCGGTATTACCCGATGTGACTATTGACTAGTGTATGAATTGTGAATTGTTGCTCACATGTCCTTATGATTATTCTGCCATAAATGATGAAATTATTCTGCCTATGGAAATGTTATGATTATGGAAATTCTGTTATGAAAAGAAAGAATGGCTTGGCAGTATGGCATCCAATGTACATGAAGTATATGTTATGAAATGATGATATATGCATGCACCGTACATCATACCGCACTTGTCTTTCTGTTTGTGTGTGACAGCATAGCATGGCATGCATGTACCAAATTCATGTTAGTCTTGAGTCTTAGAATAGTTATCTACAAGATCATGTGATTGAGCACGCATCATATAGGCACCACCGGGACACTTGGCATCCGTTCGATAGGCCACAGTGGAATTCCCCAAATGATGGTGACGTGCATGGAATTTCCACTGTGATGGCACGCGCACGACGGTGCTATGAGCGTGATGAAGGCGTTATATACGCAATATGATATATGATGAAAATGATATATGATGAAAAGGTTATATGATGAAAAGGATTTCATGTTTGAAGCGACTGTTTATAATTTTGTGCCTAGTTTAATATTGTTGCATTATTGGTTTTGTTGCCACACTACTGGGATTTCTCTCACCGCTTTGGGGCTGCTATTTTTACAAAACAGCAGGAGGACGGAAAAGCTTTTGAGGACTTGGATATTTGTTGTTGGCTTCTACTGTTTTGGGCATGCTGTTATTGATGTGATATTTTATGGATGACTGTATAAAATTGAGAAGCTTTTATTGCTGTGAACTATGATTTTATTATTGCATTACGATTTTATGACTAGCAAGTATTTTGGAAACAGATGTTGAAACGTTTGCGAAAAGGATTTTGACATGTTATCTAAATGTTGAGTTTTGAAAAGTATGTGCGAGCACTTTGTAAGTTGTCTTACTGGGGCTACGGACCTCCGATTTTCTTATAATTTATATGCACGCGTAGCCCCAGGTGTCCAGTTTCATTATATATAAACCTTTCAAAGAAATTCTGAAAACTCGATTTATTATGAATTTTACCAGCCAGGACGTTTGTGATATTTTCACTGTTTTATCTCTTATATTGCGAGTTATGTTTCGAGGGGCAAACGAACTCCAAATCACTAATATTTTATATGAACGTGAAGCCCCAGATGTCTAGTTTCCAGATTACAAAGAATATACCTTTGAAACGTTGAACTGGATTTTATACGAATTTTTAAAGACAGCAAGGTCTATCAGTAAATTTATATTTTTAGTAAGTTTAAGAAATCTTGCGTACTCTGATTTTTGTAATTAACCAGATCCCCTCTTTAGTTTTAATTGGCAATGTAAAAGCGATTTTCTTTCAGTCTCTAAAATACTATTAAAGAACTCTAATTCCGCTTAGCAAACAACTCTCTTGGAGGCCTACAAGAGAGGGTGTTACAGTATGTTTCTGATTTTGAGGACAAAATCCTTAAAAAGGTGGGGTGAATGTATGAACTGCACCGCTAAATTAGGAATTTGATTAATTAATTATGAGATTAATGAGATAATTCCATGATTAACCCTAATAATTATGAGAAAGCTAAAATAATTATGGTATGTGATTAATAATGTTGAAAGTCGCTTTTCGGACGAAAAGTGCAGATATCGGTTCTGCCTCACGGTATATATGCGTATCGATGAAGTATCCCAGAAAATTATGAAAAATATGTATATGTCACTAGAATAATATATAGGGCTAGCATAACAAGTTTCAAGTCAAAATAACGAGAATTGGTGTCAGAACTGATATCGGCTTTATAAAAGCACGTACCGGCAAAGTGTTGCGAAAAATAATATAAAAATATGACAAATCTTAGAAAAATGGCTAGGTTCAGAATCCTAAGTTTGGGACTAAAATGCTAAGCGTAGCTATTAGTGCTAATACAGTGTGATTAAGCTTAATCTGCCTATAAATAGAATAGCACAGCTCCCTAGGTCAGAAATACCACTCCTCTACGTGCCTCCATTTCTGAGTTTGACACTCATGCTTGCCACCCTATTTCCTTGAAGAAAACTCAACAAAACTCACTCATTTCCCTTGATTCTTCCCTCTAAATCTTTGTAAACACTTAGTACAGTGCATTGTGAGGCTAAAGGTCAATTTTTACTGGTTGTGGGTACTGTTTGGAGAGGTTAAGGGTGTTGTCTCTGAGTTGTGTGGAGTGGGAACCTTCTTCCATGGTGTTTTGAGTTTCAAGGTGTGATCTTTGAAGAAAAAGGACCCTTCTTGGTGTGCCATTTTCGTGCACATTGAAGTAAGAACCTTGGGAGCTTCTTAGAGAGCTCCAAGAGCACCTCTAGCTTCTATTTTGAAGCCTTGGGTATGTTCATTACCTTGATCATAAGTTTTCCTTGGTTAAAGGTTGAGTCTTGGCATGTTAACGAGTTGAAGAGTAACTAACATGATCATGAATCTAAATGTATATTAAAATGCATGATTGGACGTTGAAATGGATTAAAAATGGAACCTTTGAGTGATATCTTCGCGAAATGCAGAAACTGCATTCAATCGCGAAATATCCAGAAATGATATCCGGATATGGGCTGTGTGATATCCGGATATGGATATTCGGATATGGCCCTGACAAATATCCAGATATTTTGGGAATTTCGAGACAGTGACGGTTCTGTTCTGACAGAACTGTATTATGGGTTTATGGACCCATAACTGGTTAAGTTTAACCTCTATAATAATTACCTAAGTCAGAATCTAAGTGATTAAGGGCTTATGGCTTTGTGAGAAGCCTAAAGACATGAAACGTAAAAGGAAAACATTGTCTTTATGTCTTATGCTTGTAGACTATGATTGTTGATATGATTGTTGGTCTAAACAGATTGTGATTGTGTTGTTTGTGAACCTTGAGCTAGTGTGGACCTTGGATTGGATTGTTAGCTTGCGAGGTAAGTGTAAGGCCTAGCCGCTTCAAGAATCAATGACTATCCCCACATACTAACACGAGACTCTTCAGTGTGCTTTTTCCTCACTCGCACACTTCCTGGGAAAACTTCCCAGGAGGTCACCCGTCCCAGAATTGCTCCAAGTCAAGCATGCTTAACTGTGGAGTTTTTCTGTTTCGGGCTACCGAAAAGCAGATGCATCTTGTTAGTATAGGTATTACCAATTAATTCTTATAAGCTATCCCAAACTGTGCAGTCTTATACCTGCACAACCTTTGGAATCTCTCTCTTTCGGGTGTCGATTCGATTCATTCATGCATGTAATCCCCTCTGGAAGCCTGTCAGGAGCCGCTCCTTGTCCGTGCCTCTCTGCATCGGCGATCACTCCCCGCCCTCGTCAGCGCTCGGGATGTTACAGTAAGCTTTCGAGTCCTCGGTTTAGCCATTGTTGGTTCCACCATACCCCATGTGGGGATGGTTTATATGCATGATGTGTTTTCATGTATTGATTTTGAAATGTTGTTGAGCTGTTATGTGCAAGTGCTTATAATATGCATGTGTTGTTCCACCTAGACGGTAAGCCTGTGTATGTAGGAGACATACCATAGGGTGATTCTGTAGGTGGGTGTAAGTAGTGACTTGCACTGTTTGCAAGTAATAGACATATATAAATCCTGCATTTCTCTAGCCAGTAGAATAGTTGACACACATGACATGATTATTCTGCTGCATTGCACTGATTTTGGAACTTTTATTATATTACTGCTTTTGAACTTATATTGCACATGTAAGTGAGCTTGGGGTGGAGAAATCCTTGAGGACCCCTTGCCTTACTGAGATTTCAATTTAGAGATCTCACTTCACGTTTGGGCACATATTTCAGGTTCAGGTAACTCGGGGGTTGAGACCTCGGGCGGCAGGAGGCCGAAGCTGAGTTGATTTTTATGCGTTATGATGATATGCTTGGATTATGCTTGGATGCTGACCTGCTTTATATTTATTATCATGTTGTTGTTGAGACTCTTGTTGGGCTTTATTGCCTTATTTGGTGAGCATGGGGGTTGTCCATGCCACATTGATTGACTATGTCTTATTTTGGATTCGAGTTGTATTAATGTATCAGGATTATGGTCTGGACTACGTGTTGTAGTTCCGTGACTTAGATATTCACAGTTATTTATACATTGAGGTTATTCAGTGTATTTAGTTTTATTGTAATTACATACAGGCAATGTTTTAAAAAAGTATTAAGTAATCAACTTGGTAATATTAATGACGTCATAATTGAAAAGAAAAAGTTATTCTGCATTTTATTAAGCGTTGCTTAATACGATGACAAGATAACAAACCGGGTATACACGGGGTGTTACAGTCAGCAATTTGTCGTCTTGCTCAAGAAGAAGATTTTTGGCCACAATGACTGGAAGTTGCTCATTCTCCTCTAGGAAGGCATACTTCAAATGATCCGGTAAAGTTTTCAGTTCTAACTTTGGGGGTTGCTCACTGGAGAGAAAAAGTCTGGTTGGATGTTCCAGTTCCATGGTATGAACATCAGCTTTACCTGGAAAGAAATTCTCAACAGCAGAATTAAGAATAAAAGTAGCATCAATAGGATGTAGAGTTCAAAAGCAACTCAGACTCATCAACAATATTATAATCAGAATTTCCAATCTATGCATCACTGAAACTGGAAAAACTATAAAAATGGTGCAAATAGTACACCATTCACTATTAGTACATCCACATACAATGGTATCATGGAAAGATGAAAAATCTGGATAATTAGCAATTAAATCAACAGAAACATCATCAACAATCTCATCAACCACATCAATGTTGAAAATAGCATGATCTGCCCTAGGATATTTCAAGGCATAAAAAATGTTAAAATTAATAATGCGATCACCAAACTCCATGGAAAGAGTGCTAGAATGAATATCTATTTTGGTCTCAGCAGTTTTCATAAAAGGTCTCCCAAATATGATTGTACTACTAGGAGTTTCACTCTTTATCCCTAAGATATAGAAATCAGTCGGGAAAATTAGATTATTCACCCTAAATAACACATCTTCAATCGCATCAGAAGGGTGAACACTACTTGTAACACCCTGTGTATACCCGGTTTGTTAACATGTCATCTTATTAAGCCATGCTTAATTAAAATTGCAGAATATTCTTTTCTTTTCAACTATGACGTCATTATCCTTACCAAGTTGAATTACTTAATTCATTTCAAAACATTTCCTGTATGTAGATTGCAAAAGACAGCTAATTGAAATACCTCAATATATTAATTAACAATGAGTATCTAAAATCACGGAACTACAACACGTAGTCTGGACATAATCCTGATACATTATTACAACTCAACGACTAAAACATTGTCAAATCAATGAGGCATGGACAATCCCCATGCTAACCAAATAAACAGCATACTCATCAAGTCTCAATACAAACAGCATGGTAATGGTAAAAGCATAAAACCAAGCAGGTGCATCAGCATAAACAACAAACATGATAATCAACTAAGCTCCGGCCTCCTGCCGCTAGAGGTTTCAGCCCCTGGGTTACCTGAACCTGAAATAAGCGCCCCGAACGTGAGGTGAGATCTCTAAACAGAAATCTCAGTAAGGCAATGGGTCCTCAAGGATCTTCCACCCCAAGCTCACTTACATGTGCAATATAAGTTCTAAAACAGTATAAGTTCCAAAATAGTGCAATGCAGTAGATAATCATGCCATGTGTGTTCATACTAATCTACTGGCCAGAGAATGCAGGAATACGTCTATTACCCACACTAGTGCAAGACGCCACTTGAACCCACCCACAGTCTCACCATCTTGTATGACGCCACATAGTCAGGCTTACCGTCGAAGTGAAACAACACATACATATTATAAGCCATCACACATATCAGCTCAAAAGCATTTCAAGTATAAAAGCATGTAAACACAGCATGCATATAAATCATTCCCTCAAGGGGTACGGTGGAACCATACAATGGCTAAACCGAGGACACGAAAGCTTACCTTGCAAGCTAACAAT